AGTGTTTATCTCATATTATTCACCATGGGTTAAAGTGAAACTAGGTCCAGTTCTGCTTGTTAATCCTCGTTCATTCATTTTTTTTAACCAGTCAATTCCACCCTTGCCAACTTAGAGATCCTGAAAACTGATAAATACAAAAATTGACTTAACTATTTGAATAAAAAACTTGCTCTGATGATACTGAATGATGGAGAAAGATCTTGGTTTAAACGTTATAGATAGTAGCTGGGTACCTGGGATTTTTCTAATATTCAGCTTGTTTGGTACCTGGGATTTTTCTAATTAAGATAAATATTCAGCATATAAAACTAGCAATTGCCAAGTCCTTGAAAATTATCCAACGATTTGGTGATAAATGGAATCAGTAGACAAGAAAATGTACAAAGAGAAACTGATAGTAATGCTCCGCTGATGGTCGATTCACAAATTTCGTCCCAAACACAAGCAGAATGTCCATACTGGAGAACTCAAGAGAGAATAGTCAGAACTTTTTTTTCTTTTTGCTTTGTATTTTTCCATATGAACGGGAGCAAAACAGTTCTTCCAGTTCATTTGAACTTTACTTATATCTCTAATTTTTCTTAGCTAATGGAATGGCCTGCAAGTTGGGATGTTTCTGGCTTCGCTGAGCCTTTTGGTGTAATTATTGTACATTCAACCCCTTAATCCTAAATATATCATTATTTTAAATAAATGCCAAAAGTTCAAGACTTCATATGTTTGAAGTTCGTAAATAATGTGCTGCTTACCTATTATTTTGTTGATTATATATTTATGTTATTGAAACTTTATAACATCATTGTTAAACATATTCTGCATATAACACTGTGGTTTATTAGCGTAACCAATTTTCTGTAATCAAGTTGTGGTTTATGATGTGCACATATATTCATTTATTGCATGTCGAACAGGAACAAGGAGTACAAAGAATTCAGAGACAAAGACTGCAGAGAGGTATACAGCTACAACGTGTTGTTCGGGATGCATTCGACAGTGATAAGTATGCGGTCACGCCATCCCAGATGTACCGTACAGGATTCGCAATGTTTGAGGATAGTAGTTACGAAGACCCGCGCGACGCTCATCTGGACAGTGAGGAGATGAGCGGATCAAGTGATGAGGGGGACAAAGATGGTTGAGCAAAAACCAGCATGGACGTCTCCAGGCAGCGAAGTGGAGACAAGTGACGACCGGAAGCAAGAACACAAGTGAGAAGAGAGCAAAAAAAGGAGCGAAAGATGTGTCATACTCTGTTGACCGCGCCGCCTCTGCCAGTCGTGAAGTAGCCGAAAAAATCAAGAATTTGGTTGGTCCTACTATGACTCCTGTAAAGACTATTTTGGAGGAGTTGTTGGCGACGGGCAGACTGTATAAAAAAATTGATTTGTACTACTGGACTTGCAAGTTCCTGAGCAGAAGGGCTAATAGGGAGATTGTTCATGTACAGGAAGACGCGGGTGAAAAAATGGATTGGGTTGAGTGGTGTTGGAAAGATGATATGAAGAGACTATCGGAATGACGACTGTTAGGGGCAAAAAGCAGTAGGGCCGGTGTATTTGAACAGCCCCGAAAATTGACGTGTACTTTTTTTATTTTTCATATCTTGTTGCGGGATTTTTCATGAAAAATGTTTTTTCTGTACTCGTAATATTTATGTTCTGCGCATATATCTGTACAAATAGATTTCATGTCCACATTTTCAAAAAGCTGTGTGATTGCATGCGAACTAACTGCTGTTGGATGGATTACTTCAAAGAATCTTTGTAGAGTAAAATTCCTGACAATCACTACAACATTTCATATTTTTTGGTTTTTAGTCAAATTGGGTCCAGCTTGTCATGAATTTCATTTGTGCCATGATTTGTACTTTTGCCATAAAATACGTAGCACTAGGGCTGGGCAAAATGTCCGAACCGAACCGAATCGAGCGGGTTTTTTAAAATGAAATACCCGAACGGGTATCCGAATCGAGAACCGAATGGTTTAGTTCGATTCTCGGTTCTCGACCAAGAACCGAAGAATCGAATAACCGATTTTTTTTTTATATTGGATAAATCAATTTCTTTTATTTTTTCTAAACAAATTAATAATTTTTTTCTTATTAAATCTTATTAGTTGAACAATTTAGAGTTTATTTATATTTGTTAGTTGTGTTTTTTTCAATTTTTTCTTATATAGTTTCTTAATAGTTAGTATGGAAAGTCAACCAACTGATGATTACATTAAATAGTTGGTAAGTATTATCAATACTTTAAAATATTTTATTTTTGTGACTTCTAATTTATATTTCACTTTTATGTAGACTTGAAGGTTTGAAACAAATGAATTATTGATATGAATATCGAAATTTTATTAGTAATATTTACTTTTTGGTATTTGTATTTGACAACTTATTATTTATATGTTATTAAATTAGATTACGTTAATTTGTAAAAGTTAAGATTGAATTTGGTATTTGTATCTACTTTTTGTTATTAATATTAGTATCCACTTTCAGGTGTATTTATGTAGTATTATTTTAAATGTTAAAAATTTTAATTATAGTATGGAATCGAACGGAATCGAGCGGAACCGAACCGAACCGAACCGAAACCGAATGGTTCCAAAATTATATTTGGAACCGACGGTTCTATTTACTAAATATCCGAAAATTTCTGGAACCAAAAAAAATCGAACCGACCCGCGCCTACTCCTACGTAGCACGATCTATATAAAGAAATGTTCAACCAATATCTTAAACAAAGTAAGTATTGGAAGAGTTGTGAGAGGTTTCATCTTCCTGCTCCTTCATCTCAAACTGCTTTGAGCATTATTAGTAATATTACGAAGTGAAATGGCTCGTTCTCCTTTTCATTGTGACCTCATGCCTTGCTCAGATGATGAAGTCGAAATTGACAA